AGTCCTTTGGGCAAAAAATTGGAGAAAAGAATGCCCACCCCTGGCAGGGCTGGCCGCTTCGTGCTTCTGCCGTTTTTCTAGAAGAGGAGGAATGGAGGGATGGCGGGATGGCGGGAGCCACGGGCTGTCAGACCCCGTCGCGTTAATGACGAGAGCAGAAGTGACGGTTGGTCATCAAACACGACACGGCTGGAATGCTTGATTGCGTGGTGTCTTGAAGTGATACATAATTACGATTATGCGGGCCCTTGTCTTGCGGGAACCTGAATCTTTTTGGTGGTGGTAGTATTATGGTGGTCGTTTCGTTGTCTCCAGCCCCCAACTCGCAGAAGAGGGGAGGTTAAGACAAAAACATGAGAGGGAGCGGGCGATCATTGGGCAGACGAATTTCGGCAGGTGCAAGCATTGGAGGCAGGAGACAACGTCGGGACCTACGGAGTACCTACCACAGGTACCCAGGTCTTTCTTGCCTTGCCCAGGCAGATGCGCACGCAGGTACCAGGCAGTCAGGCGTGAACTTCGCCGAGACAGTCTGCAGGAATCGATTCGGACTCAAACGATGCCAGCACAATAATAATGGTTAATCACCAGACTATCTATCTATCTCATTTATGGGCAGGCACTTCGTATTACTACCGGTGTCCAATCCTCCGTAGTAGGATCCGAGTCGTCCAAATCGTCCAAATCGTCAACCAGGGTCTGGCATCCCATGTTCTGTGCCGAATGAAAACTTCAGACACTTCACTCCTAGAGATGCACACAGATCAATATCCCGGGTCGCACGCTTTACCAGAGTGACTAGCAACGGGAATGGGGACGCACACCGTTGCATCGTCTCTTTCGTCAACGTCGCAGTCGATGGTAGTGTCAGGGCAGGGTTAAATTACCTGAGGCAGGTAGTTCAGACAACTTGATTCCTTGCAAACTTTACTGCACAAACACTCTCATGCTAAAATTGCATTCTACCTCAACAGGCCGAAGACGTGTCGAATTTGCCCTGGAAGAGTGCACACATATCAAGGATATGCCACTTTGCATTCTGGCTGTGCTCTGCCTTCGCACCGCATCAAAGAGTCCGGGGTGTACATCAAACCAGGTCAGAAAGTAACCAACCGTCTTGAATACGGAGTAGATACACCTGCATCAAAAATGGGACGACATGCATACATACATAGATTCCGACCCACAGTTCGGGCACCCTCATCTTGTCATTGAAAGACGATGAGGAACAACGTAGTATGCGCTGCGACACTACAAGTTATTATCTCGCAATTATCTAATGCTCTCCAGATGCTCTCCAGAGAGTGAGTCATCGTATTGAGTCGGCAATGCGAGTCACTGTGTGTGATGGTGAAATGATGGCGAGACAAATGCGGGCTCGCATGGTTTAGAAACACAACTACCGTTCAATCCGGATGTACTCCGTACAATACGATGGAGTCATGAACTGCCAGGGAAACCCATTCAGCAGCTGCTCCGTCCTCCGTACTCAGCAAAACAGTCGATACGGAACATGGCCAAGCGAGGGGTTCTATCGATGTCTGGTCCCCATTTACAATGGGACTTTACTTCTTATCTGCCGCACCACCGGCATGGAGGTGGTGGGTTTGATTGAGCATGCTAGAACAGGAATCAATAACTGGCAACAGAAAGAAGAACCCGGTCTCCTCCCATACGCCGTTCATGTACGCTGCTCACGCTTGGCTGTCAATGAACCCATTTTCGCTCCCACAGCCTCACTCCATATTACCATGGCATTATAATATGCGAAACGAAAGATGAGGGGGAAATGCAACGCGGCATGATTGTACTACTATGAGCAGCATTTTCCGCCAATGGCCAAGCCAGGGTGCCCGTCAATCCGCGCGACGGCACTTTCCAGCAGAAGCAGCTCCATTGACGAATTTGGACGTCGCTACTCCGTACTCTGTACGGAAGTATTGACACAATAGCTACTTACCTAAGTACCTAGGTACATGAGGTACCAGACTGAATGCCCGCTGCTGTCATGATTTGAGTTGCCGGACACTATGCTCCATGGGCCCCGTTCCGTTCTTCTAGAAAACGGCAGCCCTAGTCTGGCATCGGCAACGCCGTTCTATCAGTCGCGTCACGACATGCAGGGGTGCGGCGTGATGACGAGTGGCAGGTTGCCGGGGCAGAGAGCACTTTTCCTGCAAAATCCCAGTCCGACAAGAGCCACTTGTCAGCCAAGTCTATGCAGTCTCTGCAGGTTCTCTGTATTCCTTCTCGACCTCCAACACATAGTAATTCGATGCAGCAGGAGGCATCGCCAATTGGAAGCCAAGCCAGCTGAGGCACCGTCCACAATGCCGAACGGGATGAAAAATGGCTGCTGACAGATGACGGGAAGCATCTTGTTGTGGAAGGAAAGGGCACGTCAGTTGATATGCAACACTCACTCTCCGACTCAGTCATGACCGCGGCTGTAATCAATATTCATGAGTGATCTATGTGCTCCGTAGCCAGGCGAGAGCTCGGCTGCCCCCGCCATCTGCGTTAAGCATGTAGTATGTCATTTTGTTGTCATCTCTACTCCGTAACGACGACAAACTTGGATTCTAATTATAGATGTATTCCGTTGGTTGCGTGATATTGGTATTTTGTCCGCGTCAGTGGAACCGAGCCGAGCGAGCGCCTTGTGTGATGAGGTGATGAGATGGTTCCAAGATTATGGCAACTCGGTTCGGTTCCTCGAGACTTGTCCGATTTAGACTGGACAGATCGTTCCAGAGTGCGCATTAAGGTCAAGACGGTGAGTTGTCCTCGTCGTACCTGCATTGTTTCGCCCCTTGCAGTCCCCGACATGCGGCAGCGCGTCAAACCGGCGCACGGTACCCCATTGAGAACGGAGTTTAATGCACGTTATCAAGCAGGCCGGTCAAATAAACCCAAGCGTCGCCACGTGGCTCCGTCATACATTTTCTGGAAGCCCAGCCATGTGTGAACGCAAGTTCGGATGCTTGGAGTGCTCCGCGCTGCTCATTTCCCAAGCCACGCAGCATGTCAATGAAACATTGCATGTGAAGCGCTCGTTTTCTCCATGTCTGCGAATGTCTCGCGGCAACCAAAGTGGACAACCCGACTCGTAAACGCCAACCCTGCTTCGCTCTAGAGCTATCCGATGGTGTGGCAGCCTATTTGTATTGACATCTCCCAACCTGCCGGTGGTAAGGGGGGAGGGGGAGGTCACCAATGAGATTGGCTCGTTGCCTCTGTTTTTCTGCTGTTTGCATCATTCAAGACTGGGCGTGATGACACTAATGAGCTTAATGCGCTGCTGCCATGCACATTGATTGCTTGCCCCCTTTGCAATGCATCGCCGTACAACGATTGACACAAGGCCGGCGCTGGGGTCTAGGGTGGCTACTCCAGCGGTGGTTTATAGGAGCATTGGGGACAACACCCCTCAAACAAATATTTGAAGTTGTATTCCGTCATGATTCGGGTGAGTCGGGCTCTTGAAAATTCGCACCATGATGCAAGTCGACTTTCCTTGTCGTACTCGGGTAATTGCTTGCAACGTGACCAACAAGAGGTTGGCGCAACCATCCATACACACATCAAACATTGAAAGCAATTTTGCATGCGGCATCTCGATAAATGACTAGCATTGGTTCAGATTCTTACACAACCAAGCATGTAGTAGCGCTACATCAAGAGCAACAGTGGCCGGTCTCTCATTAATCCGCAACACGTAGGTCGTGCTGCCCTCGAAGGAAGCATGCTGATTAGAAATGCCGTTTCCTATTCAATCAAAAAAAGAGATCCAACTGTAATACAGGTGCTAGAATATGAACAACTATATATATATAACTTGCGAAACGTTCCCATCACTTGATTTAAACATCGTGGGTGCTATACATCCTCGACTAACCATTCACCAATCAGCCAATATAAACCCCCCAAATAAGAGAGTAGTATTGAAAACCCGCGCCAAGCGACATGTTTGCATCCCAAGACCCTGTTCTGCATCCCGGCAGTATTGACGATTCTTGTCACTAGAGCCAGTGGGTTTGTTGGCAGCCATGTAGCAGATCAGCTCCTCAGCACGGGATACAAGGTTCGAGGCTGAACGACACGGGCCCTCGACAAGACCGCGTAGATCGTGGCCTTGTTTGAGCGCAAAATACGGCCGTGGGATACTCGAGCTGGTTTCCGTTCCCGATATAGCACAGCAAGCGCCCTTTCTGCCCTCCAAGGTATCCTGCTTACTCTTTCTTTCCTTTTTTGTCCCCAGCAAGACGCCCTTGGAGCAAGCTGTGCCATATGTGAGCCGTAACAAGGCGCCGGGGCTCATGACGCGAATCCAGGCATCCCGGGCATTATCCATGCGGCCTCTGACGTGACGTTTGACTGTGACCCGAACGAGGCGATTCCGCTTATGATAATGGCCGCCATGGACCTGGCTAGGGCTGCCGCTGAGCGTGCTGATATCAAGAGATTCGTACTCACTCCCTCCTGTGCGGCGGCGGCAAGCCCGACGCCCGGAATATGGCGGTGCGTCGGAAAGGAGTTGACGCTTGGAACGACGAGGCGGTTGCTCAGGCTTGGGGGCCTCCGCCGTACACCCCCGAGCGAGGATTCTCCGTCTACATATACATAATGACACATGTACGCGGCTAGCAAGATGCAGTGAGAGAGGCAGCTGTGGTGGTGGTACAGCGAGCGACGGCCCGGGTTCGCCTTAAACACGGACAAGTCGGGAATGCCCACTGTCCTTGTTTTATTTACAATCGTTGGACGGCAGCGTCATGGCTGACAAGAAGACGGCTTAGTTCTCCTGGGCATGAGCATGGGACCAAGTCTTGACCTGGTGAATCAAGGCCACCCGTCTACGTCGGGGCTTACCGAGGCCATCTACGAGGGAAACATGGAGGCTGCTCGTGGCGCTGCGCGGTGTAGGTTGTCTAGGTGTAGGTTGTCTAGTTTGAGAAGAAGACTAGCCGGGCGAAAGAAAGTGACAAGCGCGATTTCTCATGACAGATTTCTACGTCGACGTGCAAGACACTGCTCGTCTGCGCGCGGCAGCTCTCCTTCACCCTCGGATGGAAAACGAGCGGATTTTTTTCTACGCTGCACCGTATACTTGGAGGGACATCCAGACGACGCTTGCGAAGCCGTATCCCGACAGGATATTCGCTCCGCAGATGGAGGCGTCCAGGTTGGACCGCAGTGATATCGAGCTGCCCGCGAAAGCAGAATACTGGCTTCAGGAAATGGGCCGCATGGGATGGACGAGCCTGGAGGACAGTGTACTGGCGAATATTCGTGATTTGGCGTAGCTCACATAAGATAACCAACGTTGGCTGTTGGAGCCGAAAAGAAGGGACTGGTACACTGTTTCGAGGGCTCACCAAAGCACTCTTCTTGTCTTCCACCTCACCCCCTTTCCAGTCATCTCGTACCGGCAGTGCAGGGCGTGCGGCACATGTAGCGCATCACAGAGCTAGATGACAACTTGGCCAAAGCACTCAGCACATGCAGTCATGTAGATCAAAAAAGAAACCCATCAGGACCACCAGGTGCAAATGGAGGGCAAAACACACCTCGTTGTAGTTCTGCTCGGCCATCTGATAGGAACCCAAGGCGCGGAAGCAAGGTATCGGACCTGACGCAAGTTCTCGTACGTGTTGATGTTTTCAGTCGTCGGTTGAGCCGCAGCAGTTCATTTTTTCCATCTATTATTCAAGGTCTAGACTTTTCATCTTCCGTTGTATGACGTGAGATTTGCCACCTGGTAATGGTGACAGCTAGAGTCAGAACGAGTTGCTCTGGGAAGGCTGGCCGTTGCAAACTCGCTGTATTCCGTCGTATTAAACGAATACATGAAGACGGAACATGCCCCTTTCTCACCCGCGTTTGGTGGGAGAAGAAAAGAGAAAGACACACACACACACACCCATACATGCAAAGAGAGGCGGTAATCCAAAACCTGGCTGCAGAAGGATTCCTGCTGAGCGCCTGGATTCGACCCCGGCCTACTCTGTGTAAAGGTGTAACTTTGGAGTCTGTTATGATGGCTGTTCCAGAATACAACCATAGTTCATCCCGTTTGCCCTACATTGTCCCTCGGTATGATGGGAACACAGCAGGCAGAGTACAATTTGTCTTTGATGTAATGGTGGCTTGCCATGCAGAGGATTTCTCAGCAGCTTGCAAGATGGCGCCGGTCCATCATGAGCGATTGACCGTATCTAAAAGCGACCTCGAAGCGCGTTTGTTGATGAGGCTTCCCACCGAGATCCCAGCTGCGGCAGAGGCAGAGGGAACGTATTGCTGCGCAAGGATCAACGGCTTCATAAGCAGCGGCCAGCAGCTGAAAACACGTCTGGTCGGATGCGTTCATAGCCGCAGCGGGCGATTCATGATTTATGACACAGACAAGTGCACAGCCGTGTCAAGTGCGACTCCCCCCGTGAGGAACCCGTATCAGTCAGAGAGTATTCAGCTTGTACTCGGCATGAGTTTTTCCTGGTGTCCTTGTGGTTAGCTGAGCAGGATGGTGTTGAGAGCGGCTGTTGATGCGAGGTACCCGGGGAGGTTGCCAGGGATTGGCACGACAAAGTTCGCCATTGAAGAAAATAACCTTCTTCTGTTGGCAGACACGTCTCAAGTGACGCTTGGAAGAAACTTGACATGATTGATGTCTATACAGCAGCCGCAGGCAGTGTCGAGAGCGACCAGAAACGGCAATTCTCACGAGTCACGACATCCGCCTCAAACCGGGGCAGCTGACCAAGTGTGGAAATGTCAATATCCTCTGACAACAAGGCGACAACTGCCGAGAATGTCGTCCGAACAAGTGACTCGACGGCGTGGCTTGCAGAGAGTGTCTACCATTGAATACAAAAGCAGCAAAAATGGCCGGCTGGGTCGGTGGGAACAAGCAGGTTTGTGGCTTGACAAGAGGCCCCATGTCCGAGTTCTGGCAACATTCTGCTCGGGAAGGATTGTCCAAGTGCGTTCAATGTCGACTGTGATTGCTGGAAGAATCTAGAACAGGTCAACTGGGTGCAATAGGCTGGGCTGGTTGACCAATTGATTCCTCATGCACGTGCAAATGGCGCTGGGTGGAGATGAAGGCTGTTCTGTTCTGGTGGCAAGTTCCAGCAGGCGCAAACATTGAGCGCCCTTTGCGCCCCTGTGGATTCCGGTGCCACCACATGCAGTTGACGCCTGGCGTCTTTATCATCAGCCAGCCCTGACGGCAAGCTTGTAGGGCAAACGAGGCAAACATCGGGCACGACATGCAAACTCCTTGGTCGGTTGACCGGTGATGGTGGCGATGGTGGGTGTTTGAGTTTGTGTTGCCTTTTAATTTATGAGTATTATTCTCTATTATTTTTTGCATCTCACTCAATGGAGACATGAAACATGCGCCATGACCGTTTGTCCCTCGTCGTTTCGCGTCCCTGCCGTGATGCATTACACGAGGCGGCTGAGCTGCGCAGGCACATGTCAGTCCTGGAGGAGGACCCAGCCACATGGCACAAGGCAAGGCCCCAAACCATCTATTGCTGCATCGACTCGTCCGAGTCCGGCACCCAGACTTCAATGTTCATCTACGCTAGTGTCCCATCCCCAGAATACAACAGTCTATCAGTTCGCACAGACGTGCTCCTGTCCAGATCAGGTATAATCTGCCGACAGAGGTCCCAACATTGAAGTACGTAGCGGTACGCGGGCCGACATTCCCACGACTAAAGGCAGGCGGCCGTCACGCGAGGCCAAAAATAAGTCGCAGCTACGGGGAACACTGATGGATGGCACTGGAATCAATTGATGGCTGCACGGGGGTCTGGTGGCTGGGACACGATGCATGTAAATGTTCCGACGGGTTCGCAGCGCCACGACAAGCTTCAATGTTCAATGTGCGTTTCAAAACAGCCTGGCCGCTCTGGTGGTACGACGCATGCGAGGGTGTACTCGGTAAGAAGGCTGGGTTGTCAAAAAACAATGCCGCCTCGAAAACCTCCCGGGAAGCAAGGAGCACAGAAGACGATTGAAATCACCATCCCTCCGTGGGCCGCCAGTCATTGGCGCAGGTTGCCACGGCCGAAACGCCCTGCACTTCACCATCTGCGGCTGGCACCAGCCGGCGAGGAGGGCTGAGCCAGCGCGAGGTCAGATGCTGACCATGCCCTTCCCGCAAATACGCACACGACATCTGGACAATGCTCGAGCCGCGTTTCGACAGAGCGTGCGTGGCAAAGGGGGTCAATTGGTTGGGGCTGGCCGCTGGCCGGCGGGAAGCCGTCGGATTGATGGGCCTATCTATACTCCCAGCCGTAATGGAAATGCTGGTCGGAAATGTCACAGACAGACAGCCTTCTTCTCAGCGCGCCCTTTCCGCCATGAGGGCGCCAGGCAGAGTGATGTCTGGTGCATAAACATTTACCCTTTTTTTTCTGCCCCGAGGTCCCCGGACTCCACCGCGGAAGCCGGCAGCCGCACCAACCTCACATATGCATCAATTGATCCTTTTTTCGTAGGGCCCAACTGTGCCCAGACCGACAGAAGGGGACTTTTCGCCTTTGAATTCTTTTCAACGCTGGGCGTGCTGCTCTAGCCTGCTCTAGTTTGTGCCAGAGAGCCGCAGCTGCAGTCGCAGTGGTCACTCGAAAAGGGATATGTGTACTCCGTACTCCGTACGTGTGGCCTTGTCACGTTGAACTCTTCTCCCCTGGTCGGTCCGCCAATCATCCCCGGGCTGTGATGTGGCTCAAAGGCGCCAGTTACTAGTTTCCTCCCCCCTTTTCGGGAGAAGAAGCGTCAAAGTGTTCTTGGTCTGCATGTGCAGTCTTGGCCGTCGTTAATCTCGGCAAGGTTGCCTGCCAAGGAAATCTACGCGGTTTCCATTAAATCTGTCAGCCCGGCCAAAGGGCGCGGGGGGGGGGGGCCGCAGAGGGGAGTAGGGCCAACGCCACCAGAGTGAATGAATGATTCCTGCTCGTTCCACTTTCTCGACATTGATGACTCGTATTGCTGATCTCGACGACGCAATCGTGCTGTAATGATTGGCAACGGGGGCCAGGAGATGGGCGGCTGCGGCGGAAATAGCCGCCATCGCTGCATCCATCTGTCGCCTCCCGGCTAAAGGGGTGGCAGTTCTGGCAGAATGGCCCATGTGGGGGAACATTGAAGCTTCATCGCATTGATGGCTGGCGGGTGGGAACACAAGGTCAAGCCAAAAAGCGCTGGTAGACTGCATTTTACTAATCTGGTATTATTTCCTTGGTCGCCTTCCTTCTACATGCAAGTTCGCCTCCCATCCATCCATCCACTTGTTCTGTCATCATATCCTCCTCCCTTGATAGGGTATCAAATCCGACGCCACTCTAGTTTAAAATGCTCCGCAAGTAGTAGTAGTATAGGCACTGAACGCCATGACGCCTCCGATAGCCAGGCGCTGCATCACATCCGCTGCTCGTCTTTCCCAATAAGCCGTTACGTGGGTGTCATGAATCAAACGTCCCCGCGCCCCCTCCCCCTGGAATTGCTCGACTGCGTCCAATACCATTGACCGCAGACAGCGTGCATGCGCTCCCGAGATGCCATATCTGGGATTGCAACCCCGTCCTGTCCAAGGCACTCATCAAGTGCTCCCGGATGGATGGTGGAGACGCGTCGGTCCCAGATGCCCCGACTTATACGGCCATTGGGCCGAAGTAAAGGCCGGCCAGCAAACCGACAGCAGCCGAATTCTCCCCCTTTGCCTCCCAGGCTGTTGGCCTTTGCGGCTTCCTCTTCACAGTGATCTTGCCGGTGAACCATAGCGGCCAGCCATATGGCTGTACTCCGGGGTTACCGGGTTGCTCATGTCATAGCCATCTGCCGGTAGTGAATTGTGAATGCCCATGTTTTCATAGCCACCCATCCAGTTGCCACGCCTGGCGTTGCTGCTGTCGCTGTTCATATCCATGTCCATGGCGCCGGGAATGCTCGACACCTGCTGCAGGCCGTGGAAGCCCGCTGCTGCCGGGTTCACAACCGACTCGGCTTCTTGTGCCACGGCAATGTACTGCCCCGTAGAAGGTTGATGTGGCGTCATGGCTGTGGATAGCATCTGTGAAGAGGGAGGGTACAATGCCGAGTCCGCGCCGCCGTGATAGAACAACTGCGGTGGAGTCAACGGGTGTAAGGAGGCTGCGGCGTCAGTGAACTGGACCTGGCCTTGGCTGCGGCTCTGGGCCAAGGCGTGATCCGCGTTGAATACCAGCTCAATCGAGCGAGGCACATGGTGGCCCGGCTGGATGTTGGCGTACAGGCCAGGTTCGACCCC